AACTGCCATTTCAAACCAAAACTATTCCTTGTCCATGTTACAATCATAAGTAGAGTGAGTGGCGACGGTATTGTTATACCAAAATCACATGATTATGATGTCATTCATACTGAAGGAGACGCAGCAACCAACATCTAGGGGTACGGATTTGGGAATCATCGTCTGATACCCGTTAAAGCCGGCCAACCAGAATGCCGCAGTTTGAGTGCAGCTCAAACACCAGCAAGAATAGTTGAAAAGGACATACAAAAATCCACCGATGGAAATGAGAACAATAAAGTTGTATGCAGTGGCAGAGTGGCAGTATTTACTTGTATTGATCACACTGTCATTCCACAGAGACAGGTCAATATACTGTATTGTTTGTTTCAAGAGTTCATAGAGCCCAAGGCATGCAGTATCATACATATTCATGATTTTGTAATCCCAGGTCACGCATCGACATTGACAGGTTTCTGCAGCAGGCCTCATACTGTAAAGTTATTTATTTATTTTCACTCAGAACTTATTTCACTATTTTCGGATATTGCGATGTAAATAAAATCCAGTAAAAATACTTGTTTTTCTATGTTTTACACTCAATTCAATAAACGTCCAACTCAATTAATTCCAACAGTTAAAATTTTACAGTATACTGTCAGGAACAGTCATGGTCAATAATATTTTAATGATTCAGTATAGAAATGTGATTTTTAGATCCATTGTTGGCTCAGCAGAGCTTAGTGATTGTCCATTGGCTTCTGAGCCAACTTTTGACTTTTTTGACTTCTTCTTGAAAACTGCAAGTCTAATAGCTTTGATATTATGCATATACAATAAAGTACCTCCGGTTGACCGAAACAATGATTTTGATCTGCAGCAAATACGTCAATTTGACCAAAAATTATCAAAACAATTAGTACATGTACACACAAAAACAAATTTTAATGGGAATATTTATGGTTTGATTTAGACATCATAACAACAGAATAATTATTAGCTTTTATGCACTGTAGGGAAAGCACTTAAAACACCTAATTCCAGGATAAAATGCTGTGAGAAGTATTTATTAAGATTTTTTACATGTATTTTCTTTAATTAATTACATTACTACAAACAATTTGTTTTGACTACTGTGAATTATTGAATGTTTGTGTAGTTTAGCTGAAACATACAAATTTGACAAATCTAGGAAGACTGGTTGCACTAAGCACTACATGAAGTTGTCTTCTGTGTGTGATTTAATCACTTCACCTGACAAATGCCTGTCACCATATTTACAGTGAGGTCCGAATATAACTTAACATTTAAGTTTACTAGCTTTGCATGCTTTTAAAACTGTCACATATTAATTGTACAGTGATCAGTGAAATTTCGTTGGAAAGTAATTATGAAGCGGAGTCTTCCATTATTATTGTCTTCGAAAGATTAGTAATAACTAATAACAAGATTTCAGTAGTCATGGAGATCAAGAAGCTTGGATGAAATCAGATACTATGCACTATTAAACGATGTCCCAGGAATGCATTCCATTGCGATGATTTTAGATGAACTCTCCATGTAACACGAAAAAAGGAAACATGGAAGAACAGTGGAAAAGGAAATTGAAAAGATATGCTTTACATGAAGGGAAACCAAGCAGGTAGCAAAGGCCTTGGTTAGATGGATTACTGTGGAATACTTTATTTTCGCTGGAATTAATTTTCGCTGAAAAGGCTTTTTGGGCGTTTTGCTTGGAATTTATTTTCACTGATTTTTCATGAGTTCAATGTGAAATATAGGAAAAAAAGTATATTCGCTGGATTTTATTTTCACGGAATCATCCCTTCAGCGAAAATAGCGAAAATAAATTCCAAGCGCAAATAAAGTATTCTACAGTAGATGGGGGGGGGGGGTTGAGAGAATGAATGAACAACTGGTAGCTGGAATAGTAATTTACACACCATCAAGCCAATAAAGATGGCTGCCCATGGTGACAGAGGTGAATGACCTTTGCATATAAAGTCATACTATATCACTATGGAAAAGATTTCAACTACACTAGGGTGGTGTTGATAGCATATAGGGGAAATTCCATCATTACATGTATGTAATACAGGTAATATAAAAGTTGCAGTTAAATGTACTACAACAAAGGTAAATGAGGGAAAAAAAAATAATACTGTAAAAGACAAAATATTTACTGCGTTCAATTTTAGAGAGTTTGATTTTCAGAGATATTCATCATGTTTTAAACTTACTGATTATTGACAGTTCATTTTGTGCTCAGCATAATTGAGTTTTAAATTAGTTTTAAATTTTGCTATTATTGAACAAGCAGCCCGTCGGCTGAGATAGCTCCGCTGTAAGCAAGGCACATTTCAATTAAAGAACTGAAGATATCATTAGAAAATGAACAAATCTGAGAAAGGCCTACCTGTATATATATATATACCAGTAATAGCAAAGCAATTGAACTTGCGGTTTTAACAAGAAGTCGAAAATATCACTTTTTATCATAAATTACAAAAATATTCACCAAAATTAGGGAATTTAAGATATTATCACAAAATGAACAAATTTGAGAAAGGTCCACATGTAGTACTTATATATGCAATATCAAAGCAATCAGACTTACAGTTTTCAACAAGAAGTTGAAAATATCACTTTTTAACAAAAATGACAAAAATATTCAACAAAATAGGGAATTTGAGATTTTGACATGAAATGAACCAATCTGAGAAAGAACCATCCAAGGTACTTGCATATCAAATTTGAAAACATTATGAGTTGCGGTTTCGAAGAAGAAGTTGAAATTGTAAAGTTGACGACGATCAACGATCAGTAATATGAACAGCTTCACTGTGTCGACTTTGTCGACAGAGGAGCTAATAAAAAGCTACCCATCAGGCCCTACACAGGACATTATGGTTTGCACATGGTGCTCAATATGTGTTAAATGTAATTGAAAACAAAAATACTAAAATTAAAGATTTTTCTAAGTTAAAATGGAGCATTCTATGGTTTCCTTGGGGCCAAAATTACTATCAGACAGGTCACAGTTGAAGACTGTGGCCACATGTGATCCCTGGTCAATCAGAATTTTATGGTTGCCAGAGGATCTGCTTCCCAGGGTAAGGGGGGCACATGACCATGGCATGAGGACACTGCACCCCTGTTTAAAAAAATCCCTGTGCCAGATGGTCATAGCGTGTTATTGTTCACAAACAAGTGTCTACTCGTGAGCCTTTGCGTTTTTAGCGTGTTGTTATCGTCGCTGGGGACTCAATTCACGCGCGTGCTGGTTTGGAGATTTTTAAAAGAAACTCATAATTTTTAAAGAGAGGATGATTGTCATCAATAATTATAGTTAGTGGTATAATGCTAATAATCTAGGACATATTTAGACAGAATATTCAGAAAAATTTAGATATGTGGCAGTTTCAAAAGTTATGCTAGCTTAACGTTTTCACCACGAGTTCCCTCTTTTCATCACAAATTCAAATTCTGTTTATAGTCTGCACTTTCCTTCAGAAGATTGGGACAAAAATAGCCTATTTTTTGTGTGTAAAAACTGAAAAATTACTTAAATTTTATTTGTTAATTTGGCTACAAAATTAGGGTTCATATCCAGAATTATGGAAGAATATCAAAACAATGGCAGAAAAAATTGGGTGAGGAAGTCTGGTGGTGAAAAGGTTTAGCTAGCTTAACTTTTTCACCATGAGTTCCCTCTTTTCATCAAAAATTCACAAAATAGTTCTGCTTATAATCTTTCCTCCAGATGATTGGGACAAAAATAACCAATTTTTGGAGTAAAAACAGAAAATTGAATCAAATTTTGTCTGTTGGCTCCAAAATTAGGGCTGATTTCCAGAAATATTGAAGAATATAAGAAAAAAGTACAGAAATTTGGGTAAGAAAGCCTTAACTTATGTTTGATAGACCATACTGTATCTTTTTAAATAGCTCACACAGCATGGGACTACTGTACTGTATTAAATTGCTCAATTAGAAGCAAAACACCCATAGTAGCAAGCGTAAAACACATATTTAGTTTATTACTAGTAGTCTATAATAGTTAAGTCATATTTTGATACTGTGAGGAATACTTTATTTTCACTGGAATTAATTTTCGCTGAAAAGGCTTTTTGGAACGTTTTGCTTGGAATTTATTTTCACTGATTTTTGATGAGTTTAATGTGAAATATAGGGAAAAAAGTATATTCGCTGGATTTTATTTTCACGAAATCATACCTTCAGCGAAAATAGCGAAAAAAAATTCCGAGCGAAAATAAAGTATTCTACAGTACTTTATTTTCATTTGGAATCAATTTGCGCTATTTTCACTGAAGGATTAGATTGATTCTGTGAAAAATAAAATCCAGCAAATATTCACATTTTCCTCTGTTTTATATTTAACTTATCAAAAGCCAGTGAAAATGAATTCTATATATGCACTTGAAAAGTACGGTACTTTGAGCGAAAAATTAATTACGACTAAAATAATTTATTTTACAGTATACAGTAATTGTGATTTATGGATTTTAACTGCACTACTTTTGAGGAAGCACTTGTTACATGTATGGAGCAATACGTTTGCCATTATTGTATACTGGATTTATTAAAATATAACTTGCATGTATTTTGACCACAGACATGCCTCTGTAGTTTACAGTCTATGTCAGTACTGTAAGCAGAACAAACACAGTATCTGAATACATTTGAGAAAACAAAATATATTAAATTTCAATCAGTACACAAAAGTATTCACACACTAGTGAGTACTGTAATTATCACAAGCCCCAAATTATGCGTCACTGTAAAACTAGATAAAATTTTGAATACCATACTAAAATTGTGGTAGCAACATTTCTGTATTTTAAGATTTTTTTTAAAAATGTCTTTGTTAAATTCTGAAAAAAGCAACACAATTTCCAGCAGACCTTTAACAATTTAAAAAAAAAAATGTAATTGGAAACAGTTAAACCATTTTATATTTTGTGTATGATAAGTTGACATCAGCATCAAGGTTGAACTGCATGCCCTTGAACTAACAGAGATAATAGGATTCCTTCTTTTATTGATATCACAAGACTTACAAGATAATATTTAACAAAACATTAATAATCCTTGAATTCACTATAAATCCCTAAATATACTATAAATGGTCATTTACTTTCAACACTGCAGGTTAAATGATTTGCATTAAAAATAGTGGAGAAAAAAATGTTTTCACTAAATTTTATTTTCGCAGATCAATTTCCCAGCAAATTGCAAGTCAATAAAACTGTATGGAATACTTTTATAAAACACTTGCATTGAGGTTGTAACATGTAGGACACTTTTTGGGTCAATTAATATCTTTTAAAATAAAACCGCATTTCGGACTATGGATTAGAGATCACAAGATAAAGCAGATAGGTACAGAGAATTGAAATCTATGCCATATTGCTCTTTGACCTGATCATGCGACAGAAATAGACATGCTGCTTGTTATTCAATATACAAGAAGCCTGGCCCACAGTTAGTATGCAATTAAGAACAATACTAACAGCAAGGTCAATACCACATACAGAACAAAACATACAGCAAGCTTGGACAAAGCCACTCAAATCAATAATACAGTTTACTTACAAGCGGCAAATACTCTTGCCTAGCACGTTGTTTTGATCGGTGCTTATGTGGACGTGACATGGCGAATGACAATAACAACTACCTCATATGCTGTATTACACTCAGTATTGGAAGACAAATCAAGAAAAATGAGCTGCAGATTCACATAACAATCACTTGGCAGGCTACACTAGGGTCATCGATCGCTGCTTCGATCTATATCGGTGATTAAACTGGGCATTTAGGACGGCTATAGTTCAATATCCATGGCTGACTGTTTGAACTGAGAATAGCTCATAATCAGTCACATGACTTTTTCATGGGTAACCTTTGACCTTTAGTTCACAGCTTGTACTCTCCTTTTACTGCTATTGTCTGCACAATTTCACACATGAGTTATTTATGTGTTATACTTTGATGCAATAGAAATATTTAAATAAGAGTAGTGTCAAAAAATTAAATTCTGATTCAGAATTTTGTAATTTTGACAAACTAAAGTGGCCTGATATCATGATATTAAATTTAGATTACAGATGGTAACCTCAACTATCAGTTGACACAGCAGGGCTAACAAAAAATATTTTCAAACTTTTTTTTTTTACAAGTTTGATTTTTGTACTTTGTACTACTACTGTTAACAGTTTATTAAAATAAAATGTTAATACTAGATATTTTCACTATTTGCTGATTTAATGGCATTTGCGAGGAGAAAATTCTACAAAAATTACAGTAAAATATTTGCTGCTGAAAAATTTCTGGATTTTCACATAGCTGAGAAATTTATGAAAAAATATGTCTTGCAAAATTATAGAGGTTTACAGTATAACAGTCTCATACATGGTTGTCAGTTTCAAATTTACATATATTTGTTACAAATTTTTTTTTTTGCTTTTTTTTGTGGGATTATTTTTGGTATTTTTGCTAAAAAAAGGGTAAAAATACATTTCAAGCTACATGTATATATACATTTGCGTATACCATGTGTTTGCCATTTTGTTGTTGTAAACTTTGACCTAAAAATGGGGTTTTATTGAAGAGAGTAGGCTGAGGAATAAGACGTTTTGGTGGTTGGCTCCCAGGAAAAATCTAATACTATCATTAAAACAGATGCAAAGTACTAAGTATGAGCATTAAATGATCCAGCTTCATTTGCATAATAAAGAGGGAACCAATACAATGAAACCTTTCAAAGGGAGACAAAACAAAACATTCATTTTCTTGTGAGAACATGAATTTGAGACTCAGGTCACAGATGTACTATGAACTATATACAGGTATATATATATATATATACACTCACTAATTTAAACTCAGACATTCCTAACACAAGATTTACATACTGGGGTACACCATCCAAGATTTCTCTGTGTCTCAGGGTTTGTAATGTAAAAATAAAAGCAAATTTCAGTCTTTGTGCATATTGTAAACTACAGTTGTATTCATATGCAGTGTAATTATTACAGGTAACATTACACAAACTGGAAACCAACATGAACATAACATAGAAGAGCCCTGAACAATTACAATGTATGCTTATATACCCTCGTGGGGATTCTGAATTCGAGCGGGGAAACTTAGATACAAATATACAATACTGTGATTGGTCAATACAAATATTGTGGTGTTGCCTCTCACGTTCGTTCATAACACAGGGTTCAAGGTCGTATCCCGTTTTGTTACATTCAAGCTTAGGCGGTATATACGATGTATATAGCAGTATAATAATATAAAACGATACACAATATCAGTAAAAATAGTAAACAATAATTCTATCCATATCTATTTCCGACAACTGTGTTGATTGTGCTATAGGTACATGTAAGTAATTGTAAATCATCATAGCCCTCTAGAGGGACTGTGGTTATAGTAATCACCACAGTGGTCGGCATTCTATGAACATTCCTACAAGATTTTTTTTTTTTTTTTTTTTAGATAACAGCTTTATTACAACCGTGTAGAAAATTTTACATTTCTAATTTGGTGTTTAAAATGTAATAAAGTTAATAATGAATAACTAAAAATGTAAGTAGGTGAAAGTTGAGTAAATAAAAAGTTAAATAAGTGTGACTGAGTGTATTCTTTTGTTTGTTCATTTACTGTTACTCAAGTACACATAGAGGGCTATAATAGTATCTTTATCTTTTGATTGTAAGATATGTTTAAATTGTTTTTCTTTATCCAAATTCAGGAAATTTGCATTTACACTGTTGATAGTGTGAAACAAGATGTTGACCAAAACTGTGGTATTTACTGAGAGTTAAAAAATGGCTAACTGCAGTCAGTGACCTGTTGGGGGGGGGGGTCGATCAGGCTGTTAACATCCTAGTTGCCATTCTTTAGCAAAGTAATATTGTGCATTTAGAGAGTTTTAGGTGGTTTTTCTGCAGTCACATGTCTAGTTGTACATTGTCATGGCATACACATGTTCGTAACTTCTTTTGTGTAGATGCACCTGATACTTGTCTGTATCATTGTGAGATACATGTTGCTTTCAACCACAAACCACATGCCTAGCTCATTCAGTAAAGGGACTATGTATTCCCAACACTCGTAGATCTGTAAATCGTTGGTAAGAATTCATGGTGATGTTGCTCAAAGAAATGTATTATTTAAAGATATTGAGGGGAAAGTTGGATCATGTTGGATCTGTACTAGTAAATAAAAACAGAGAAACTACTTAGTAAACTGTTTGGAACAAAAAAACCTACTTTCCTAGCAATGTTATTCAGTTATCAGTACAATGTATGTAGCTGATTAATTATTATGCATTAATTATTGGTTTTTAATTTTGCTATTCTAATATCTGCTAAATTAAATCCATGTGAACATGTAAAATAACAATAGAACTCATTGTTTTCTCTGCCAAGTCTGTTTGTGAAATTAAACACCCACACTACCAGCTTTCAAGTTGTGTACAGTTAAAGGCCCAATTCACTTGCCCCAGGCAAGTGTGAATTGGAGGTGTGGCTATGCTAATGAGTGTTGTTAATCACTTGCATAGCCTATGATGCATCCTGTTTCAGCGGTCTAACGTCACATGACTTTGATTGACAGTAGTTAATTATTCAAGATTAGTAGCATGTCCCTTTCCCCGGTTCATGTTTTTGACTTTTATCCGTCAAAATCTCAGCTCGAACACTATTTATTGTCATAAATACTACACACAGTCACTGCTGTGATATTCATAGTCAAATGCATCCACTTTGGCACAACATAATCGACCTGTAAGTTCGAGAAAACGCATTTTTACCGGTGCTTGGCTGGAGCTATTTACTACAGCGTGGCAAGCAAGGAAATAATCCCTATTGTTTAGGAGCGAATTTATAATATACCTGGACCTTTAACTGCATATGAATAAACACTATCTGCATAAACACTAAAATGTGTAAACGCTGGTGACAGAGGACGATGAGCAAAACTGTCTATTACTGAAGGTTAGCAGACTGTTGGAACATTGCACCTGGAAAACGTGTGTTA